CTTTATTTTTTTGTGATGACCTATATTGCTCAATGCTAACGAACCCAGAATGTTTTCCGACTATAGGCCTATTGATACCGAAAATATCGGGCGGCCATGTTTGTTTTTCTTGTACCAGCTGTATTCCTACACTGGCCGTATCACTGTAAATTGTAGTATACAGTCTCATATACTGCAATTTGGTTTACTAACGACATATAGGCAAATGCAACACAGAATGTAAATATACGTAGATAAGCGTGTTCAGTAAGGTGTCATTATTTAAATGTGATTTTGGTCAGAGGAAGAGTATCTACCGTCAAAATATAGTCGGCAAATGACATCGTCTCTTGGAAACAAACAATTCTAAAACATACATTTTGTGAAGTTTGTTATAGGTATGCCTGAGAGATACCTGCTCTTCTCATATGTGTTCTTTCTTTATGTTCACGTTATCTAGGACATCTTTTATGTAATCATTCGAAATTTCACAGTCGAACTTTACCATATTTTCGGGAAAGAGGTGATATTATAATCTTAGTCAATGCTTAAAATGGGAAGTTAGTCTAATCTGTAAAATAATCTTTGTTTAAGCTGTACAATATTATTATTCTTTGTTTTAAAATAACATCAGCTTTCGTTATAAAATCATCTTAGTATTATTTATCAGCTACTTTTTAGTTTATGTGTTAAATCACACGACTTACTATACAATTTATAATGGTAGTTAAGTCCGAGGACAATCACGAACAACTCATTCGTATATTAGTATGACCGCTGGGACACCATCATGTACCGTGTACAAGTATGGGCACTGACAAAACGCAACAACAGGACATTCCTTAGACCACCCAGAGAGGAAAGTCATCCAATATGGCCTCACGTTGACGTCATTTCCTGTACACATCTCTAACAACATCTTGGGAATTCCGACGGAAAATAATCATGACCAATGCTGAAACAGCGATACTAGGAAGAACAGAAATCAATGTTTCTGTTTTGGAGTTTTAGATTACTTTTATGTGTCTGATTTCTGTGTATGACCGTCAGACGCCATGCTAATAACAGTTGTACTTGACGAGAGGGAACAGGTATCTATCACCTAATCTTATAGCTATATTAAACATTACAAATAGATATGGAGGTATTATTCAATAAACGTATCACGGTTAGTTTAATCAATGGAATACTTTTTTAAATAAACAACAGCGGTCATTTTTTGTTTTACAATATTTCAACCATTCTAGCCACATTGACCAGTTATTGTATGTCATGGTTGTAAGAATTCAAGCAAAATCATTGATGTGTGTCTAAATGTGTTCCGATGACTACCAAGCGGGAAGACGACTTCTGGTTGCGAGAACGTCAAGCACACCTACCGAGTCAAACAAAGGCAATGACTATGTTCATTAGGTTTTAGGTATAGTTTTATCAACAGATAAATATTGTGTACGTTACGGGTAGTTTTATTAGACGATTTACAAACTCGTTCGTTTTGTTCTAGTATTGTGGTCAAATCTAAATTTCTAGATGCAATATATGTTGCGATTTTTTTTATTGATTTCGTGGTTTCAATTGCAGTGTTTGCGTCCCATTCTTATAGTAAAGTGTTTTGTCTTTGCTTTCTTTGTGTTCACGTTGTAATATATATTATCCTTGTGTTCACGCTGTAATATATATTATTCTTGTGTTCACGCTGTGATGTATATCATTCTCGTGTTCACGCTGTTATATATATTATTCTTGTGTTCGCGCTGTGATATATATCATTCTTGTGTTCACGCTGTGATGTATATCATTCTCGTGTTCACGCCGTGATATATATTATCCTTGTGCTCACGCTGTAATATATATTATTCTTTTGTTCACTCTGTGATATATATCATTCTCGTGTTCCCGCTGTGATATATATTATTCTCGAGTTCACGCTGTGATATATATTGTCCATGTCTGTTGACAATGTTGTTCGTTTTATCGTTATTTATTGAGGCTTTGGTACGTTTTGCATGTATGGTAACCGTAGCAATGGTGTATTTTGTCCTTGTTTGTTGACGCTATGATATATCTTGTCCTTGTTTGTTGACTCTATGGTATACCTTGTCCTTGTTTGTTGACGCTAAGGTATATATATCTTGTTCTTGTTTGTTGACGCTATTGTATATCTTGTCCTTGTTTGTTGACTCTATGGTATACCTTGTCCTTGTTTGTTGACGCTGTGGTATATCTTGTTCTTGTTTGTTGACGCTGTGGGATATGTTTTTCTGGTTTGTTTTGTTGACGCTGTGGTATATGTTTTTCTCATCCTTGTGTTCACGCTGTGATATATCCTATTCTTGTGTTCACGCTGTGATGTATATCATTCTCGTGTTCACGGTGTGATATATATTATCCTTGTGGTCACGCTGTGATATATATCATCATTGTGTTCACGCTGTAATATATAATATTCTTGTGTTCACTCTGTGATATATATTATCCTTGTGCTCACGCTGTAATATATATTATTCTTGTATTCACGCTGTGATATATCACATTCTCGTGTTCACGCTGTGTTATATATTATCCTTGTTTTCACGCCGTGATATATATTATCCTTGTGGTCACGCTGTGATATATATCATTCTCGAGTTCACGCTGTAATATATATTATCCTTGTATTCAGGCAGTATTATATATTATCCTTGTGTTCACTCAGTAATATATATCATCCTTTTGTTCACGCTATAATATATATTATTCTTGTGTTCAAGCTGTGATATATATCATTCTCGGGTTCACGCTGTGATATATATTGTCCATGTCTGTTGACAATGTTGTTCGTTTTATCGTTATTTATTGAGGCTTTGGTACGTTTTTGCATGTATGGTAACCGTAGCAATGGTGTATTTTGTCCTTGTTTGTTGACGCTAAGGTATATATATCTTGTTCTTGTTTGTTGACGCTGTGGGATATGTTTTTCTGGTTTGTTTTGTTGACGCTGTGGTATATCTTGTTCTTGTTTGTTGACGCTGTGGGATATGTTTTTCTGGTTTGTTTTGTTGACGCTGTGGTATATCTTGTTCTTGTTTGTTGACGCTGTGGGATATGTTTTTCTGGTTTGTTTTGTTGACGCTGTGGTATATGTTTTTCTCATCCTTGTGTTCACGCTGTTATATATATTATTCTTGTGTTCACGTTGTGATATATATCATTCTCGTGTTCCCGCTGTGATATATATTATTCTTGTGTTCAAGCTGTGATATATATCATTCTCGTGTTGACGCTGTGATATATATCATTCTTGTTTTCACGCTGTAATATATATCATTCTCGTGTTCGCGCTGTGATATATATCATTCTCGAGTTCACGCTGTGATATATATCATTCTTGTTTTCACGCTGTAATATATATTACTCTTGTGTTCACGCTGTGATATCTATCATTCTCGGGTTCACGCTGTGATATATATTGTCCATGTCTGTTGACAATGTTGTTCGTTTTATCGTTATTATCATCCTTGTTTTCACGCTGTAATATATATCATTCTCGTGTTCACGGTGTGATATATATCATTCTCGTGTTAACGCTGTGATATATATCATCCTTTTGTTCACGCTTTGATATATATTGTCCATGTCTGTTGACAATGTTGTTCGTTTTATCGTTATTTATTGAGGCTTTGGTACGTTTTTGCATGTATGGTAACCGTAGCAATGGTGTATTTTGTCCTTGTTTGTTGACGCTAAGGTATATATATCTTGTTCTTGTTTGTTGACGCTATTGTATATCTTGTCCTTGTTTGTTGACTCTATGGTATACCTTGTCCTTGTTTGTTGACGCTAAGGTATACTTGTGTTCACGCTGTGATATTTATTATCCTTGTGTTCACGCTTTGATATATATTGTCCATGTCTGTTGACAATGTTGTTCGTTTTATCGTTATTTATTGAGGCTTTGGTACGTTTTGCATGTATGGTAACCGTAGCAATGGTGTATTTTGTCCTTGTTTGTTGACGCTAAGGTATATATATCTTGTTCTTGTTTGTTGACGCTGTGGGATATGTTTTTCTGGTTTGTTTTGTTGACGCTGTGGTATATCTTGTTCTTGTTTGTTGACTATTCTTGTGTTCACGCTGTGTTATATATCATTCTCGTGTTCACGGTGTGATATATATCATCCTTGTTTTCACGCTGTAATATATATCATCCTTGTTTTCACGCTGTGATATATATCATCCCTGTTTTTACGCTGTGATATATATTATCCTTGTTTTCACGCTGTGATATATATCATCCTTTTGTTCACGCTGTAATATATATTATCCTTGTGTTCACGCTGTGATATATATTGTCCATGTCTGTTGACAATGTTGTTCGTTTTATCGTTATTTATTGAGGCTTTGGTACGTTTTGCATGTATGGTAACCGTAGCAATGGTGTATTTTGTCCTTGTTTGTTGACGCTAAGGTATAGATATCTTGTTCTTGTTTGTTGACGCTATTGTATATCTTGTCCTTGTTTGTTGACGCTATGGTATATCTTGTCCTTGTTTGTTGACGCTGTGGTATATCTTGTTCTTGTTTGTTGACGCTGTGGTATATGTTTTTCTGGTTTGTTTTGTTGACGCTATGGTATATCTTGTCCTTGTTTGTTGAAGTTGTAGTGTTATCTTTTTTTCTTTTGCTATTTGACGCTGTGGTATATCTTGTCCTTGTTTGTTGACGCTCTGGTATATCTTGTCCTTGTTTGTTGACGCTATGATATATCTTGTCCTTGTTTGTTGACGCTATGGTATATCTTGTCCTTGTTTGTTGAAGTTGTAGTGTTATCTTTTTTCTTTTGCTATTTGAGCCTGTGGTATATGTTTTTCTGGTTTGTTTTGTTGACGCTGTGGTATACCTTTTGCCTGTTTGTCGAAGATGCGGTATTTATTGTCCTTGTTTGTTGACGCCGTGATATATTTTGTCCTTGTTTTTTGACGCCCATGTATTTATTTGTTATTAATTTTCAACCTGTTTACGTATCTCCTATCATTTCTCAGTTTCAGATGCAAGGCCGAGGGGATCTACTGGTGTCTCTGTGTTATCAACCCGCAGCCAACCGTCTCACTGTGGTAGTGCTGAAGGCCAGAAACCTCCCTAAGATGGACATCACTGGCCTGTCAGGTGAGAATTGTAGGTCTCAATTTCACTATATCTTTTTTTCTTAAATGTTTTAACCGTCTTTTACACTTTTACACATTTTTGACTTCATATAGAACGCTATCCAAGTTATGAGTTAAAAAGAACTCGGGGTTTATAAAAGGTCAAGACTCGTGAAACTGCTTTAAACTTTTGGCTTTTTTTGTAAAAACTCTTTTTATTATTATCCAACATTTTAGAATCTATAAGCACAGTACAGTAAGATTAAACATAAGCACAAAGACACGAAAATTCTCTTTAAACAATACTTCACTCGAGAAAGTCTGGTTTGAACGCATGCATGTTGTTGCATTGCCGTTAGTCACCTGATAAAATCAATATTACATTCTCGTATAACTTCAACATTCCCATGATAATTGAAATACAGAAACCATAAACCTTTGGCTGTGGGTTGTACATTCAATATTTACAACCACTTGAAATGCGTTGTATAAATTCTTCCGAACCTTCGTCACAGTAGCAACGTCAATTTGCTGTCATATATAATGCCCTGAATTCAGGATGATTCATCCTTTGAATTGGAAAATTCAACCTTTCTGGATACGCGCCTGAAACTCAAAGTCACAGTCGACTTAACGATTCTAATACTTGTAGGTTTTCGTTCAAACTCATATAGTATTTTTGGCAGGTCCCACCGGTTGCCAACACCCCTAAAGTCTGAAGTTCTCCTCATCTTCGAAAGTCAACTGCTTGACATTTAATCAAATTTAAGGGTTGATAGCTCAGAATGCTTTGTCATTTCCACCTGTATCTAAATTCTGATCGGACTCAAAATGTCTTATTTACTTGCTTTATGGATTAGAAATGAAAAACATTATTAAAATATACAAAAAACTGAGACAATTAATTCTTAATCAAAAGATATATTTACATATTTTGAATTTAGAACCGAAACCATTATGTTCTATCACATAACGAGTTTTATTAATTAATATGCAATGGAACACTGGTATATTATTTGATGCACACAAGTTGATAAGACCAAAAGGTTCAATGTAGGAACTTTGATATTACTATATAAATCATAATAAGTCAATTCGTTATTCAAACTCACTAAAAAGTTATAAAGAAGAGGAAAAGACAAATGAGATCAACAGACTGATAGTCTGAGTCCGGGGGTTTCCAGCATACATGGTTTATGAATGTGTCCATTCATATTTTTAATGTACATGTAGATTTTATTCTAACAACGGTTAATAATAACAGCTTTTCACTTTTGACTTAATATTATTTTTCTTATACTTACTAGGGGGAAAGAACCGAATCATTGAGTCAAATATTTCCACCACCTTTGTTGTCCTGTAAAGTCTGGTCCAATATGAATATTCACAGCACTTTACTATGTCCTAATAATAGATCTTATAGTACCCCATGCTCAATACTTCATGATAGGTCATAATAAGTTATCAGAGTAATTCATGCTCATGATTAATTAACAATACGAGTCATGATAATTGATCATACAGTAACTATTTTTTAACTAAAAAACTTACTGATATCAGGTCCTAATAAGAATCACAGCATCAATACTCATAAAAATTATTCGTGATATTGATCTCCAAATAAGTTATCATAGAGTCATTGATGCTCGTGATATGAGTTCCTAGTGTGTGATTTCCAGTTAAATCACGTGATGTGTAGGACTACTCAGGTATCGATCTTCGCCAGTAGCCAAAACAAACACCCTGTTGAACGAGTGCCCACAACATAATTACATAACGGACACATTACCGGATTCTGGACTCTTGGTGTTTCAGGAAGCTGGATAAAATTCTATTAAACATGTCATTGTTGATTTTATACAGAATAACTGCAAACCATTATGGTCTTTAATACTATGACGCATTGATTTTTGTTCTGAAAATGTGTGCCGATTTAACACGCATCGTTATATATACACGTTTATATTTACCAAACCATCAAGCACCAGCCTATTTGAGTTCCTTGCATGTCAAACATTGTTGTTAGCTATTTACTCAACTTACGATTAAATATTGTCCTATATGAATACAAATATGGGAGTAACCAATCAGGGTCTACTCCTGAGATTAACGAGTCAGAATATACATCTGGAATAACCAATCAAAGGTCTACTCCTGAGATTAACCAATCAGAATATACATCTGGGATAACCAATCAGGGTCTACTCCTGAGATTAACAAGTCAGAATATACATCTTGGATAACCAATCAGGGTCTACTCCTGAGATTAACCAATCAGAATATACATCTGGTATAACCAATCAAGGTCTACCCCTGAGATTAACGAGTCAGAATATACATCTGGGATAACCAATCAGGGTCTACTCCTGAGATTAACCAATCAGAATATACATCTGGGATAACCAATCATGGTCTACTCATACTATTTATCAACCAGACCATACAATTTTTAGTTATTAGTCCTAATCCTGGGATTAACTAATCATAGTCTCAAGCTGAAAGTAACAAACCAGGATCAACTCCTGAGATATAACAATTAGAACTTCAATACCTTCGAGTAACTAAACAATACGTATCCCTGGCATTATTCGATCAGGATATATAAATAAGATTCACCAATTGGAAATATACACATCCAATCCACCAATCAAATTCAATCTTAGATATCAACATATCCGGTAACATGAACAATTTATAACAAAAGTGGTCTGCAAAAGTACCGTTTTCATTAATAAACAGTATCTGTTCAAACTCCGATGTTTTTGAGCAATAAGTTCGGAAACCTCGGTGACATACACATACACATGTCTGAACAATAAGCTCGGAAACCTCCGTTACATACACATACACATGTCTGAACAATAAGCTCGGAAACCTCCGTGACATACTCATAAACATGACTGAACAATAATTTGGGAAACCTGGTGACATACACATACACATGTCTGAACAATAAGTTAGGAAACCTCCGTAACATACACATACACATGTCTGAACAATAAGCTCGGAAACCTCCGTGACATACACATACACATGACTGAACAATAAGCTCGGAAACCTCGGTGACATACACATACACATGTCTGAACAATAAGTTCGGAAACCACGGTGACATACACATACACATGTCTGAACAATAAGCTCGGAAACCTCCGTGACATACACATACACATGACTGAACAATAAGCTCGGAAACCTCGGTGACATACACATACACATGTCTGAACAATAAGTTCGGAAACCACGGTGACATACACATACACATGTCTGAACAATAAGCTCGGAAACCTCCGTGACATACACATACACATGACTGAACAATAAGCTCGGAAACCTCGGTGACATACACATACACATGTCTGAACAATAAGTTCGGAAACCACGGTGACATACACATACACATGTCTGAACAATAAGCTCGGAAACCTCCGTGACATACACATACACATGACTGAACAATAAGCTCGGAAACCTCGGTGACATACACATACACATGTCTGAACAATAAGTTCGGAAACCACGGTGACATACACATACACATGTCTGAACAATAAGCTCGGAAACCTCCGTGACATACACATACACATGACTGAACAATAAGCTCGGAAACCTCGGTGACATACACATACACATGTCTGAACAATAAGTTCGGAAACCACGGTGACATACACATACACATGTCTGAACAATAAGCTCGGAAACCTCCGTGACATACACATACACATGACTGAACAATAAGCTCGGAAACCTCGGTGACATACACATACACATGTCTGAACAATAAGTTCGGAAACCACGGTGACATACACATACACATGTCTGAACAATAAGCTCGGAAACCTCCGTGACATACACATACACATGACTGAACAATAAGCTCGGAAACCTCGGTGACATACACATACACATGTCTGAACAATAAGTTCGGAAACCACGGTGACATACACATACACATGTCTGAACAATAAGCTCGGAAACCTCCGTGACATACACATACACATGACTGAACAATAAGCTCGGAAACCTCGGTGACATACACATACACATGTCTGAACAATAAGTTCGGAAACCACGGTGACATACACATACACATGTCTGAACAATAAGCTCGGAAACCTCCGTGACATACACATACACATGACTGAACAATAAGCTCGGAAACCTCGGTGACATACACATACACATGTCTGAACAATAAGTTCGGAAACCACGGTGACATACACATACACATGTCTGAACAATAAGCTCGGAAACCTCCGTGACATACACATACACATGACTGAACAATAAGCTCGGAAACCTCGGTGACATACACATACACATGTCTGAACAATAAGTTCGGAAACCACGGTGACATACACATACACATGTCTGAACAATAAGCTCGGAAACCTCCGTGACATACACATACACATGACTGAACAATAAGCTCGGAAACCTCGGTGACATACACATACACATGTCTGAACAATAAGTTCGGAAACCACGGTGACATACACATACACATGTCTGAACAATAAGCTCGGAAACCTCCGTGACATACACATACACATGACTGAACAATAAGCTCGGAAACCTCGGTGACATACACATACACATGTCTGAACAATAAGTTCGGAAACCACGGTGACATACACATACACATGTCTGAACAATAAGCTCGGAAACCTCCGTGACATACACATACACATGACTGAACAATAAGCTCGGAAACCTCGGTGACATACACATACACATGTCTGAACAATAAGTTCGGAAACCACGGTGACATACACATACACATGTCTGAACAATAAGCTCGGAAACCTCCGTGACATACACATACACATGACTGAATAATAAGCTCGAAAACATCGGTGACATACACATACACATGTCTGAACAATAGGTTCGAAAATCACGGTGACATACTCATAAACATGTCTGAACAATAAGCTCGGAAACCTCCGTTACATACACATACACATGTCTGAACAATAAGCTCGGAAACCTCCGTGACATACACATACACATGTCTGAACAATAAGCTTGGAAGCCACCGTGACAACCGTAGAGGTAATGTAGCGTTAAGCTCGGATCCTCCGTTACGAAGCACAAAGATGTCGCGACATACAAAGAGGTGATGGGGCAATGATCTCTGAGTACTCTGTGACAGATTTCTACCCATGCAAGTTAAGATAACAGATTCAAGCTGTGCGTTTGTATGTGTTTACATCTGAACAAACCAACGCCGTATGACACGCGCTTAAATGCCTATAAGACATCTCCATGGATTATGGAAATCTAAATACGTTCTGCTACAAAGGGAGATATAAATATATGGGTCCCTCCAGGCTTATGTTTACTGTCGCTCGGCGAGACTATATGGCATTTCACTAGTCTAATTGTCTCCCTACGTCAAACGATCCAAATATGGTTAGAATCATTCACTTTTTGTGTTTATTTTAAGAAGTTATATTAACATCGCTTGGTCGTATAAACCTTGTCCGTTTATAGTTGATATGATATAAAAATCTTCTTACAAGCAACAAATATAAATATTTCTTTAAGTAAAACGGGAAACGTTGTGTGTCATTCTTACCTCGATTCAGTTTCTCTTAAATCCATAAAGTCAAATTTTAAATATAAATGTGGTTTTTTTTTGTAATTAACCGAAGGCAAACAAAACTGCCTATAAACCTATCCAGCGGCGAATTCATCACCATACACTATAATTGTATCTCATTATATCTTATACAAACTTGACAGCAGATCCAACAAGGAGGTTCGGTGTTATAGAGGATTCGGCAGTACACATCATTATCATACAAACTTGAGAGCAGATTAAACATTTAAGCACATGGTCAAATGGTTACTATTGAGGAAATTAATATTAAGAAATGATAATGCATTTAAACGTTCTGCGGTATCCTTTTGTTCATTTAATTGTCCTCCAAAGAAATGATGGATTTAGCAGAAAAGGACGGTTTATGCATCAGTATATTACTTTATATGCCACAGTCATGCCCGGTTACACCAGGGCCAGCACCTAAATTATTTTGTTTGTCGTTGTTTTGAACTTATGTTGCATATCTCAGCCTGTAACTGCGTTCTTTTCCAATCTTTTATCATTTTTGCAATAAATGATAAAACCATTTTTTAATGTATTATAAATATGTATCTGTAATTATTGTCGTGTATATCCTATTGATTTCATATATTACAGATCCCTACGTGAAGATTTACCTTCTCTACAACGGCCAGAGAATTGCTAAAAAGAAGACGCATGTGAAAAAGCGGACACTGAATCCCGTGTTTAACGAGTCGTTCCTGTTCGACGTTCCGTACAATGAGGGTCTTCAGAATATCAGCCTGGAGTTCCTTTTGCTCGACTGGGACCGAGTTACCAAGAACGAGGTGATTGGACGCCTGGAAATCGGGGCGAGGACTAGCAGTCAACAGCTGCATCACTGGAGCGAGGTCATCAACTGCCCGCGGAAGCAGATCGCCGAATGGCACAAGTTAAAGGAATGAGATAAACTGAAGTGAAATGGCAATGAGACTAGGTTTTACACTATGAACTGTTTATAGACTAGCATGCATGTATTTAAATCAAGAAACAGTTTGATTGATACAAACTTGACTGGTTGTGTAAATCATCAATCAAGGACGCGCGGAACAGTTAAAGATGTGATATATAGTTTAATTTACATGCATGTAGATACAAAAAATGGGGTAAGTGTAAAACCTGATGATGGATTCAATCCAGAATGATGTAGAACTATTACCTAGGAAATAGTACTCCGCATCAATAAGTATAGTTCAAATACAAAACTGTGTGGTATATACAAACAATACACATCAAAAGAAAAGCACGTGACAATATTACAATATACGTGTTTAAAACGGAAAACGGAAACGCCATTTCCTGGTTGACAGTAAATCAAGAATAAGGGTGAATTCGTGGGCTGTTCAAATCCATTCATAATAGACGAAATAGCAGTACAATATCAAGGTCAAATAATATAACTATTGATATATAATTTATGCGTCGTTTCATTGTCTGTTTTATCATTAAACGCCCGTAGCATGTAATAACTAAAACTGAAAAAAATATTATCATGAGGATATTAAAAATACAAAATTAAATATTCGTATGTTTTCCAAATAATATCAATGAATTTGCTCGATGTCCTCCGAGAGAGTTGTTCTTTGGTACCAGTTACTCAAGACAAGAAGATTTCCCCTCCGTTGTATCATAACCCGTCAAAGCAGGTCTCAAGTGGCAAATCTAGAGCTATTTCTGGTTAGAACGGAACTGCAATAGGAGAGCAATTTCGACAATCAACCCCTTTTATAAGGACTTAAACCAAATATGTACCAGTACAGCTTTGTATAGTTTCGTGTTCTCAAGCAGGAGAGTGAAAAACTGACAACGTCCATGATATGGAAAGAGAAAGGTCAACAAAAATACAAGGCGTCCGTTGGGTTGCTCCTGATATTGCCAGAAACCCATGTAGAAACCGCTGATACCAAAACGGAAGTCACCGACTCCAAAACAAGATCAATTCACAGCCGCACGGAAACCACCGACACTCATACGGAAACAAAATCATCAATGTCATTGAAATCGATTAACTGTCCCAGAAAGAGCAGATCAATTAGAACACATTCCATTTGGAAATGTAATAAAGAAACGGAAATTGTATTTCATGGAAGTTCTCTTGTACCTGACGGAAATGATTGAAATTTACAGACGGAGGTTAACGAACCGTAGGTTATATAAAGGTCATGCAATCGGCTACAACCACTTGTCCAATTTCAGACATTTCTTATTCTTGTTTGTAATTGTGAATATGTAGTGACAACGTTTGATATACAAGACTTTTTATTTCATCAACTTTGAGTTTCAGAAAAACAATGTTAGCTGCATTCTAAGCAATCTGCTTTTAATATCTCGTACACATTTTTCAGACAAAATGTTTCGAACTTTCTTATTAGGGCAAAGTATATATCGGTAATAAATATATTGTTTCTCTATAACATTAAGGGGACAGACACATTGTGTAGTGTTTGTGTCAAGGCAATAGAATGATAAGACCTTGGTAGCAGTGGGGAATGTATTACGCCGTCAGTAACACTTCTTTATCTTATATTAGCAATGTACATGCATGTACGACACATGTGGACAGGATAATGCTGGTAGTACAAATACGTAAGAACCTAATGTGTTCGATCGTGTTTAAGTATCCACTGATGTTTACACTGGTGACGTCATGTGGATTGCAGTGATAAGACTATTGTTGTATGTTACTTTTTTTCAGGTAAGTCATCGCACTCGATAGTAAAGTAAAGGGAAACTAAATAATGTTTAATTATTGGAAAGCGATAAGTGCTACAACATAATAAATGAGTATTTTGCATCGCTAAATTATGTCAAGAACTCTAACGTTATGTTATATTCATCATGATGTTTCGTTCTTTTGCTGGAATTATAAGAACACATATGGTTAGTAATAATGACAATGGGAAGGTATGCCGTGGTTATTACCGTAACCAGAGAAATGATAATTATTCATAAAGGAATATTTTGCTATGATATATTTTTCAAAGGATATTGTTGTATACATGTGATGAACCGGTTTTCTGTTTGTCTATCAGTGACAACCTTACAGTGGTGACCTAGTGGGAAATGATATCGGAAAAATGATGTCCAATTTAGTGTAAAAACTGAAATAAACAGTTGCACAATATCAAAATTATTTTATTATTTTTGCCCATTTGACTTATTTTTGACGTCTGCATGATTACATAGAGGCTTAGCTTTCACAGAAAACCATTAAAGTTAATCATCATAATTTTTTTATGCTATGAACCTTTTTACTACTTCTCTTTTGACATTTTACCATTAAACTTCGGTCTCTTATTACATGTAGATATATTTTGAACAAGATCACTTGTCTGGATGTTAACGCTTTGTGAACTGGATATGATATGAACAGTAACCAGCCTCTCGACCATTGTTATAAAACAAAATATCATATATTTGTACCGTGAGATCGCATAGTTTCCAGTCGTCCTCGAAACGCCTTACGAAGAGTTTCTGTCGTATTACAAAAATCAGACCATGTTTTCTCTTACCCTGGACAGGTGTATCCGCACTTTTACCGGTGCGAGATTAATAGATAGGGGGATCTCAACCCGAGGGGGAATATTCGTATGTTGAGACGGGGGGATTCCCCTATTCATAACAATTATATGACGTCACTTCAACAATACAATGACGTCACCTCAACAATCCATCAACGTCACGTCAACCCTGAATGTAGCCTGTGACGTTAACATTACATTTTGCATATGATATACAATAGGTGAACAGAGAAAAAGAACAATTCACCTCATTGTGGGTGAGATAAGGGAATCTTCCCCCTAGGGTTGAGTTTCCGAGATTCCCCTATCTCACCCCAAGACGGTGAGAGATTCTATTAATCTGAGACGCACGATAACAAGTGTCCCAGTGTTGTAAGAAGCAAGTTCATAAGGGTTCAATAAGCCGGACATTTTGTAAGTAATAAAAATGATGATCTTTATTCGTTAATGTATGATTTTGAATCATTAAGGTTGAATAATGTACCACTACAAAGGTTTAGTGAATGTAAATCTAAGATCAATAATTTTGATTTTTATAAATTAAACAATTTGTATATAGCAAATGGAAGACTAGGTGATGATAAAAATGTTGGTAAGGTTACTTGCAATGATTCAATTGTCACTGATGAAGTGTTATTATCTTCAGATCTGTTCACACTATTTAAAAATGTCAAACCCATTAATGTCCATTGTAGTATTGAACTCGTCTTACATGGAATTAATAATGAAAATAACAGCCACGGTAACCCCAGCTCTAATAGCATGTCTTACATGTGTATGTCAAATGGAACTGTGAGAAAATTAATATATTTGTAGACGTAATAAAAACCGATAATGAAGATGGTGTAAACAAAATTAGTGATACATTTAAACAACTCCATGTTAAACCCGTGGACCAAATTAATAAAACCGAACTTAACGACATTGTGAGTCGAATAGGTAACCTCTTCACAAGGTCAGCTAATAAGGCGTTCGGTAAAAGATATCCAGACATGCGCAAGAGTAATAAATGTACAACTAATAAACCATGGTATACTGGGAATTGTAGAAAACTGATAATTGAGTTTCACTTGGCAAAGAGTAAGTATAAATTAGTGAAAAATCAAATAAACAAAAAAGCCCTGAGAAATAAGAGTAAATAGTACAGAAAAGAAATGAATAGGTTTTTTAAGGAATATCAGCATAAAATGGAAAGGGATATCAGGGAATCTGCAAATAGTAATCCCAAAACATTATGGAATTTATTAAATAAATTAACTGGTAAAGCTAAATCTAATAAAGCTGACATACCAACAAATGAACTTTTTGAGTATTTCAAAAAGCTGAACAATTCAAATGATGACCGGGATGATGATAACATATATATTCCCGAACAAGAAAATAATACTTTTTACCAAATACTATACGAAGATAATTCAGAGGAAGAGATTAAACATGCGGTAAATAATTTAAAACATAATAAAGCATGCGGAAATGATGACATTTTAAATGAGCATATCAAGAGTACATTAACTAACTTTATGCCGTTATCTACAATGTTATTTAACAGTATACTAAATACTGGATTAGTCCCAGACTCTTGGACAGTTGGAATAATTAAGCCTACTTATAAAAATAAAGGAGAAACTTGCGACCCGGACAACTATAGAGCTATAACTCTAGTGTCTTGCTTGGGGAAAGTGTTTACTATTATTATCAATGATAATTTAACTAAATTAGCTGATGAAAATAACATAATTTCTCCCTCTCATGCAGGGTTTAGAAAAGGTTACTCGACGACTGAAAATATTTTTATATTACACTCATTAATAAACACATATTTTGCTCAAGGGAAAAGTGGCTTTACTGTATATTTATTGATTTTCGAAAAGCGTTCGACACAGTTTGGCAAGCGGGATTATGGCAAAAGATGTTAAAAAGTAACATAAATGGAAAAGTTTTTAAGGTTATCCAAAACTTATATTTTAACCAAGTCATGTGTTAAAAACGGAAATGAAATTTCGGAATTTTTCGTTTGCAATGTCGGATTAAAACAGGGNTTAAATTGAATGAAGAAAATATCGAAGTCCAAAATTCTTATTCATATCTGGGCATATTATTTAATAGCAATGGTACATTTAGTAAAGCAAAAACAGAAATAACTGAACAAGCTAAAAAGGCACTATATGCATTGTACAAGAAAATAAGAAATATTCCATTGTCTGTTGATTTGCATCTTAAGTTATTTGATTCTCTTGTTTCACCGATCCTATTGTATGCTTGTGAGATATGGGGATTCGAAAACACTACTACCATAGAAAGAATGCATTTGCAATTTTGTAAAAAAATCATGAATGTGAAAAATTCTACTCCGAATTACATGATTTATGGAGAAACCGGGAGATATCCTTTGGAAGCAGAAATCAAGACAAGAATGATCATGTTCTGGTTTAAGTTGTTAACTGGCGGGAGCAAGATAGCTAGTCTGATATACAAAATGACATATGTTTCACAATCAAATGAACAAATGCATTTTAAATGGAATAAGTACATAAAAAGATATATTAAACAAGTTAGGTTTTAGCAATTTGTGGATTTTTCAAAATACTTGTACTATGAATAGAAATCATTTCAAAGCTGTAATTAAACAGCGGTTAAAAGATCAATTTATACAGAAATGGTTCCAACAGATAGAAAACTCTTCTCGTGGTAAATTCTACTCCATATTTAAGACAAACTTTCAGTATGAATCATATCTAACAAAACTTAATGAAAAAGATAGGCAAATTATTTGTAAATTCCGCACGTCTAATCTAAATTTCCCAATAGAGACTGGACGCTGGAATGCAACTCCAAAATCAGATAGAATATGCCCTTTATGTCAAACAGATATAGGTGATGAACCACTTTATTTGTTAAATGCCAAATTACTTATATATCATCAATAAGAAAAATATATATCCATAATTATTACACTACAAACCCAAGCAATTTTAAGCTAAAAGGAATGATTTCTATTTGTAATTTACATGTTTTACCTAAAATAAGTCGTTTTCTAGATAAAACAATTAAGGCTTTACGTGACATAACATAAATGCAGTGATTTTATTCTGTAGTATTATATATTTACATGTTGTAAACACAATCTGTACTCACTTTGCTATGTGATTGAAATGTATTGAAATGTTGACCTCTTGTAACACACCTCGTGTGTCATGAGTGTAAAATAAAACTTGAAACTTGTAAGTGCGCGTTATTCAGGCTTCCAATGGTGTAGCATGATGCATTTCACCAAGGGTAACAGTAGTGTAAGGTCAGTTCAATCTGTAACCATAGCAACATAATTATAGTGACTTATTTAACGAAAAATATGAGAAGTCGAGAAAATGATTACCCTGACATCTGATAATAATCCTAGATATTTCACGTTACAAAGGAACTTAATCTTCTTAACTGTGATTTCAACATACCTAGAAGCTCATGTTTCTGAAATAATTATAGTTAATTCATTATAAAATAGTAAAAGCGTAAAACGATTTAAGAATGGAACTTATAACTATTAACTTATGGAACTGTACTTAATTGCTAACGACCTTATTATTCATGAGATACATTTGAAAATAGCTGCTTCCTAAAACAAGTTAAAGGCCCCGATAGCAAAGCGTGATATCAATTAAAAGAAATTATCTTACAGATATTAAGAAATTCCTATTTGGAATATATACGTGTAATGGAAGAGTTGGGCTATGAAAGAGATGTTACTGACCAATTACATTTATTAACATTTTCTGATTAATTTATACGGATGTTGCTGACTTGTTTATGTAATTGTTCCACACTAACTTAGTTAGCACCAGGATAATCATTTAAAAGGTTAGGGATATTGAATTCGATGTACGATGCATCTGTAAGTCGACGATGTTAAAATATTAAATTATCTGTTAATGCTAGATAATCTTATGTATTACTTGCCAAAATAGCATTTGGCATCAGGGGGACTTGTTTATGATGTATACGTTTATGTCCTGAAAGTATTCGATATTACACTGGTGTATTGATGGCGTCACTAGACTTAGTTGATTAGTGCGTCTAAACCATCTAAACGGAGTCATATTACAGTCTAACTAATGTTGTTGCACGTTGTCTGAATGCTACTCTGACATTTGAGTGAACGAAATTAACTGAAATCAGGTAACTGAGTGCCATTTCAGTTTCTATGTAAATTGATTTTCAAAAATAAATTCCCATTCCAAATA